ACCCATTGCTCACTCTATCAGCCTATTTCCCTTGAGATCTACCCAAGTTTTTTGTTTGTCAACAGTTAGTTCTTTCATTACTGAGTATTTTGCCACTGAAAGACTGACTATACCACAGTGTGTTTATCCATTCACCTACTGAAGGACATTCAGAATCGTTCCCGTGTTCGGAAATTATGAATAAAGCTGCTTTAGGCAGTCACATGCAGGTTACTGTGTGAACATGAGTTTTCATTTCTTTAGGGCAGGAGTCATCAAACTACATACAGCGCTCATATCAAATCTGGTTTACGACCGGTGTTAATAAATAATGTTTCACTGGAATACAGCCACACTCTATCATTTACATAACACCTCGGGCTGTTTCTGCATTATCACAGTAGAACTGAATAGTGATGACAGAGACCATATGACTTGCAATGGCTAAAATACTGATGATCCACCTTGCTACAGAAAAAGATTGCAAATTTTTGTCCTGGGGTAAATACCCAGGAATGGTACAACGTGGCCATATAGTAAGGGTTTAACTTTTTGAGAAATTGTCAAGCCATTTTTCAGAGTAGCTGTACCATGCTGTACTCCCACCAGTTGTGTGTGAGAGCTCCAGTTGCTTTACTCCTCATCAACACTTGACAATGTCAGTATTTTTTATTTTAGCTATTCAAATAGTATATAGTGCTATGTCATTGTGGTGATCATTTGCATTTCCCTAATGACTAATGACGTTGAAATCTTTTCAAAGTTTTTCTTTTATTTATTTATTTATTTTGCTATCCTTGCATCCTCTTGGGTAAAATGTCGGCTCAGGGCTTTTGCTCATTTTGTAACTTGATTTTCCGTTTTCTTGCTGCAGAGTTTGGAGAGTTCTTTGTACATTCTGGATATGTACCCTTTCTCAGATATAAGATTTGAGAATATGTTCTCCAGGTTTATAACTTGACTTTTTTTTCTCCTAATGGTATCTTCCACAGAACAAAAGCTTTTTAATTTGGGGCACCTGGGTGGCTCAGTGGGTTAAGCCTCTGCCTTCAGCTTGGGTCATGGTCCCAGGGTCCTGGGATCGAGCCCCACATTGGGCTCTCTGCTCAGTGGGGAGCCTGCTTCCCCCTCCCCCTCTGCCTGCCTCTCTGCCTACTTGCAGTCTCTCTCTGTTAAATAAATAAATAAAATCTTTAAAATTAAAAAAAAAACGTTTTAATTTTGATTAACTTCAGTTTTTTCAATTTGTTCTTTTGCAAACTATACTTTTGGTGTCATGTCTAAGAACTCTTCACCTAAACTCATGTCACAAAGATGTTTTCCTATGCTTTCGTCTAAAGGCCTTATAATTTTATGTTTCTATTTAAATCTATGATCCATTAAAATTTTTTTATTCGAGTATAGTTGACACACAGTGTGACTTTATTTTCAGATGTACAACATAGTGATTCACCAACTCTACATGTTATGCTCTGCTCACCACAGTATAGCTCCCATCTTTCACCACACAACTCTACTAAAATATCATTGACTATATTTCCAAAGCTGTGCCTTTTGTTTCCCATGACTTATTTGTTCTATAACTGGAAGCGTGTGTCTCTCACTCGCCTTCACCCATTTTGCCCAATCCTTCTTCTCCCTCCTCTCTGGCAACCACCAGCTTCTCTGTATTTATAGGTCTGATTCTGGTTTTTGTCTGTTTGTTCATTTGGTTTTTTTCGCTTCCACAAAAGAATGAGACCTATGATCTATTTTGAAATTAGCCCTGTAGGAATTGTGAGGTAGGTTAAAGTTAATTTTTTTGCATATTGATCATGAACTGTTCCAAAATCATTCATTGAAAAGACTATCTTTACTCCATTGGATTCCTTTTACATTTTTGTCAAAACTAAACAACCATATTTGTCTTTTTCTGGACTCTCTGTTCTGCCTATTGCTCTATATGTCTATCTACCCTCCAATACCACACTTTCTTATTTGTAGTATAGCTATATAGCTTTATAGTTATAGCGATATAGTAAGCTTTAATATCTATTAGAATTGTTCCTCCTATTTTCTTCTTCTTTTTTAAAGTTTACTATAAATTCGAGTTCATTAACATACAGTGTAATACAGTTTCAGGTATACAATATAGTGATTCGCACTTTGATACAAAACCCAGTGTTCATCACAAGTGCCCTCCTGAATCCCCCATCATTGATTTCACCCATCCCCCTGCCCACCTCCCCCTCTGGTAACCATCTCTATAGTTAAGAGACTGTTTCTTGGTTTGCCTCCCTCTCTTTTTTTTTCCCTTTGCTCTTTCTTTTGTTTCTTAAATTTCACATATGAATGAAATCACATTTACTCTTCTTTCTCAAAGTTGTTTTAGCTATTCTACTTCATTTTCCTTTCATAAAAATTTTAGAGTCAGTTTGCCTATTTTTACAAAAAAAAATCCTGCTAGAATTTTTATTAGTATTGTTGTAAAATGACTGAGCAATTTGGGGATGATTAAGATCCCTAATTTGTTGTGTCTTCCAATCCAGGAACACGGTATGTCTTTTCATGTATTGAGGTCTTTTCTGATTACTTTCTCCGTTTTTTTGTAATTTTCAAGATACAGATTATTGTATAATCAAGATACAAGTTATATATAATCAAGATATAGATTGTTTTTTTATATATATTTAGTAGTTATAGGGCTATTCAAATTATATAGTTCACATTGGGTGAGTTTTGATGATTTGTGGTTTTAAAGGAATTGGTGCATTTCATCTAAATTATTCACAGAGTTGTTCAAAATTTTCTCCCTATCCTTTCCATGTCTGTGTGGTTTTTAGTGATAGCCTTTCATTTCAGATACTGGTAATTCCTATCCTCTATCTCTGTTTCTCATATATTTACAAATGGTGGCTTTCTTCCTTCATTCCTAATGTTCCAGCTTTCACCCCTTGGTATCACTTCCTTTCTTTACTTTGTGTGTGTGTGTGTGTTGCCTAACTAGAATGAATTTATTTATTCATTTATTTTTAGTGGTACAACACAAATTTATTAGTGGAATAACACAAATGTATTCTGTAACAGTTCTGGAAGTCAGAAGTCCAAAAACAGTCTCACTGGGCTAAAATCAACAGGGCTGATCACAGCAGGTCTGTATCACTTCCTTCCTATCTGAACAATTTTCTTTAGCAGTTATTAAGAGTTTCCTTCATCTAAGAGTGTCTTTATTTCACCTATATTCTGGAAGGATACTTTCTCTGAATAAGTAATTCTGAATTGGTAGTTTTCTTCCAGCATTTAAAAAAGGTTCTACCCCTTTTTTTCTGGCCACCAGGTTATTAATGAGAAACTTCTTTATTTATTTTTATTTCATGTTATTTATATTTATTGAAGTGTAATTAACATAACAGTAATATATTAGTTTCAAGTATACAATATACTTATCCAAGAATTATATGCATTACTCAGTGATCATCATCATAAGTGTACACTTAATTCTCTTTATCTTTTTCACCTATCACCCCCACCTGTCTCCTCTCTGGCAACCACACTTGTTCTCTCTATTTAAGAGTGGTTGTGTGTGTGTGTGTGTGTGTGTGTGTGTGTGTTTCTTTGCACATTTGTTTCTTAAATTTCACATATGAGTGAAATCATATAGTCCTTATCTTTCTCTGTTTGACTTATTTCACTTAATATTAGACCTTCTAAGTTCATACATGTTGTTGTAAATGGCAAGATTTCATTCTTTCTTATGACTAATAGTCTATTGCATAAATATGTACATCTTCTTTATCCATTCATCTATGGAAGGATATGCACTGTTTCCATATCTTGGCTATTGTAAATCCTGCCACAATAAACATAGGGATGCACATATCTTTTTGAATTAGTGTTTTTGGTTCTTTTTAGGTAGATACCCAGTAGTGGAATTACTGCATCACACAATAATTTTATTTTCACTTTTAAGGAACATCCATACTTTTTTCCACAGTGGCTGCACCAATTAGCATTCCCACCAACAGCGCATAAGGGTTTCCTTTTTCTACACATCCTTGCCAAAACTTGTACTTTCTTATCTTCTTGATTCTAGCTATTCTGACATATGTAAGGTGATATTTCATTGTAGTTCTGATTTGCCTTTCCCTGATAGAGAAATCCATTGTCATTTAAATAATCATTCTACTATAGGCAATGCCTCATTTTTCTCTGGCTGCTTTCAAGATTTTGTTTGTCTTTGGTTTTGAGCTGTTTAATTTTTGATTATAATGTTTCTACACTTGAATTTTTGAGTTTTATCCTGTTTAGGGTATATGCAGTTTCTTGAATTTGTAGGTCTTTTGTAGGACTGGGCAAGTTTTAAACTATTATTTCTTCAAGTATATTTCAACACCATATTCTTCTTTTAGAATTCCAATGACATGAATGTTAGAAATTTTATTGTAAACTCACAGGTCCATTTGGATCAATTATTTTACTCTTTTTTTCCTACACATTGCTCCGACTTGATAATTTCTATTAATATATCTTCAAGTTCACTAAATCTTTCCCCTCTTGCCTCCATTCTGCTACTGAGTCTATCAAGTAAGTTTTTTTAAATTTCAGCTGTGTTTTTCAGTCCTAAATTTCCATTTGGTTCTTCTTTACATAGTCCATATGTACTTTACATACTCTATATCTTTGCAGATACTTCTAACATGCATTTCAAATGTATGCTTGGTCTTCCTAGCAATTTTATTACAGCTATTTAAAGTCTGTCAGAAAATTCCATTATATGTGTCATCTTACTGGCACCTGTTCAATGTCTTTTTCCATGTGAGTTGAGATTGCTGGGGTTCTTCACATGCTGAGTAATTTTGGATTGTTTCTTGGACATTTTGAATATTATATTATGAGACTAGGTCTTGTTTAAAATCTATAAAGGGTGTTGATTTTTTAGTAGGTACTTGAATGGGCTAAGAATTTTTTTCTAGGTTCACAATTTGTTGTATAAATTGAGTATCACATGATGAGCTGGCATTAGCTTCTCCAGACGTGAGAATTTAACAGATAAGGTACAGTTTCAAATTCACTGATGTTCCTTTCACAGCTGGTGTTTTTTCTGACCTTAAGTTGAAGTGTAAGAACACCAAAGCAATGCCTCTGTACATGTCCAGTACGCAATGCATTCTGTCTGTGAGAATATAAGAGTTGAAATATTTTCTGATACCAGTGAAATGGAATTTGGCATTAGTTTCTAGACCTGCCATGATTTCGATCTTGCAAAAGAAACCAGTTCTGCTGTTGTGTCCTTCGATGTATGCAGCTACCCCTCCTGGGCTAGGATATTTTTGTGACAGCATATACTTGACCTCATTTGATTCAGGCTGCAAGTTTCAACTCACCTTCTGTGGGCTGTGGTACCAAAGTCAGGGCAATTGTTGAAGGCTTTGCAAGTAATTTAGAACTGTCCCTCAAGGGCACCACCCAGTGGTTAGTTTGGGACCTGGGTGGAGGTCTATCTGTTAGGTTTAGTCCATTAGGCCTTTGGTACCTACCTAACACCAGATCTATGTATGCCCAGGTGGAGGGTAAACCTCGCAGTTCAAAAACAACTTTCTCAGGTCTTTTTACCGAGTTCCTCCCTCTGTACTATGTCCCTAGGACTCTTTGGTTCCCTAGGGCTCCAGACAGGAGTCAGTTTTAATAATTATACCAGGACAGCAGGCATAAACTGGGACTATCTCAGTAAACTGAGCCATAAGGTTACTCTATTAGTAAAGAACAAGGGAATGGGAAGCAACAATGCTACACTATGGCTAACAGGGAGAAAAGACTTCCAGATGTAACGCAGCAAAAATTTCTATTGCATTAATAGTACGGGATCATGAATTACAGCCAAACATCCTGGGACATAACTAAAGTGTTCAGACCAATATGACATTCAGAAAGGGGAGGATGCTAAGGAAGTAAAAAACATTGCTGAAGCCCAGGGCAGAAAAAACAACTAGAAAGGGGTGCAAATAGAGAGATGAAAAAAAGGCTGGTTTTCTCCTGACACATTCAGAGTTAGGGTAGATTTACTGTGAAGATAATGAAATGTCAGTTTTAGGGCTTCTCAACTTATAGGCCCCTCCCAAGCACTATTGCAATTTTTGTGCATATAATTTTGTTTTCTGTGTCTTAAAGAACCCCAACCCCACCCCATATTTTAAAAGTTTTAGGTGTGACAAACCCTGGATTTCTCCTGACCCAGTAGCACTTTCTCACTGAATAATGTACAGGTATGTCTTCCACCTTCACACTCTTCCTTTCAAAATTTACTCTATTCTCAGCTCTAAATACAAATTATACATCCAGACAATAAGGCGATATATAGGTGATTGCTGGTTCCTATCCAGAGTGAAAAGGCCACAATGATTGTCATTAAAGTTTATTCTAAAACGCAATTTGTTAATGTATAACTGTTTGAAGTTGTCTTTTATGATTCTTTGTATTTCTGTGATATCAGTTGTTAAGTCTCCTCCTTCATTTCTAATTTTATTTATTTGGGCCCTTTCTTTTTCCTCATGGGTCCTGCTAAAAATTTATCAATTTTGTTCATCTTTTCAAATAACTAGTTCTTAGTTTATCTTTTCTATTAATTTTTGTCTCTATTTTATTTCTGCTCAAGTTTTTATTATTTTCTTCCTTCTACTAATTTTGGACTTTGTTTCTTTTTCTTTTTCTAGTATCTTTAGGTATAAGGTTAGATTGCTTACTTGAGGTTTTTCTTATATCTTGCAGTAGGCCTATATCACTATGAACTTCTTAGAACTACTTTTGCTGTACCTCATAGATTTTGAAGAATTGTGTTTTTATTTTCATTTATCTAAGCTATCCTTTTACTTCCACTTTGATTTCTTTGTTGACCAGTAGCATGTTGTTTAGTCTCCATGTATTTGTGTTTTCTCCAGCTTTTTCTTATAATCGATTTTTTGTTTGAAATCATTGTGTTCAGAAAAGATGCTTGATAGGATTTCACTCTTCTTTAATTTATTGGTATTTGGTTTTTGGCCTGATGTATGATCTATCCTAGAGAATGTACATGTGCACTTAAGAGGAATGTGTATTCTGCTGTTTCTGGACAGAATGTTCTGTATATATCTTTTAAGTCCATCTGATCTACTGTGTTGTTCAAGGCCAATGTTTCTTTGTTCATTTTCTGTCTGGATGATCCATCCACTGATGTAAGTTGGGTGTTAAATTCTACTATTATTATTGTATTATTGTCAATTCTCCCTTTGAGTCTGTTAATATTTGCTTTATACATGTAGGTGTTCCTACATTGGGTACATAAATATTTACAAGTGTTATATCTTCTTGGTAGAATGATTCCTTTATCATTATATAATGCCCTTGTCTGTCTCTTGTTACAAACTTGAACAATTATATGCCAAAAAATTGGACAACCTAGAAGAAATGCATAAATTCCTAGAAACATATGATTTTCCAAGACTAGATAAGGAAAAGATAGAGAACAGACTGATTACTAGTAATCATACTGAAGTATTAATCAAAAAAGTCCCAACAAACAAAAATCCATGACCAGAAAGCTCTGCAGTGAATTCTACGAAACATTTAAAACAGAGTTAAAACCTAACCTTCTACCCCAATTTCAAAAAATTAAAGAGGAAAAAATGCTTCCAAGTTCATTCTGTGAAACCAGCATTACCCTGATACCTAAACCAGACAGAGATATTACCAAAAAACAAAAACAGAATTACAGGCCACTGCCCCTGATTAAGATAGATGCAAAAATCCTGAACAAAATTTTAGCAAACTAAATTCAATAATACATCAGAAGGATCATATACCAAGAAGAAGGAGGAGGAGGAAGAGGAGGGGGGAGGGAGAGGGAAGGACGGAAAGGAGGAGGAGGAGGAGGAGGGGGAGAAGCATACACCATGATCAAGTGGATTAACTCCAGGGATGCAAGGGTACAACCTCCACATATGAATCAATGTGATACACTAAATTAACAAAATGAAGAATAAAATCATACAAACACCTCAATAAATGCAGAAAAAGCATTTGACAAAATTCAACATCAATTTATGATAAAAACTGAACAAAGTGGGCATAGAGAAAACATATCTTAACATAATAAAGACCATATGTGACAAGCCCTCAGCTAACATCATATTCAATAGTGACAAGGTGTAAGCTTTTCCTCTAAGATCAAAAACAAGACATGGATGTTCACTTTTGTCCAGCTAGGAAGTCCTGGCCACAGCAATTAGGCAAGAAAAAGAAACAAAATGCATCCAAATTGGAAAGGAAGAAGTAAAATTGTCACTATTCACAGATAACATGATACTATATTAGTAATCAGATTACTAATATAGTAATTGTATTACTATATATAGAAACCCTTAAAGACTCCTCCCCCAAAACTAATAGAACTAATTAAAGAATTCAGTAAAGTTGCAGGATACAAAATTGATATACAGAAAACTGTTGCATTTCTATACACTAATAATGAACTAGCAAAAAGAAAAATAAAGAAAACAATTCTATTTATAATTGCATCCAAAAAGTACCTAGGGGGAAAAAAAAAACTAAGGAAGTGAAAGACTTGTTTTCTGAAAACTACAAGACTTTGATGAAAGAAACTGAAGATGACACAAACAAATGAAAAGATATTCCATGCTCATGGATTGGAAGACTTAATACTGTTTAAATGTCCATATTATATAAAGCAATATACAGACTCAATGCAATCCCGGTCAAAATACCAAGAGCATTTTCCACAGAACTGGCAGAAATAATCCTAATATTTGTATTCAACCATGAAAGACCCCAAATAACCAAAGCAATCTTGAGAAAGAACAAATCTGAAGGTACACACTCCTAGATTTTAAACTGTCCTACAAAGCTACAGTAATCAAAACATTATAGTACCAGCACAAAATAGACACAAATATAAGAGAACAGGAGAGAGAGCCCAGAAATAAACTCACATTTATATGGTCCATTAATCTATGACAAAAAAAGGGTAAGAATACACAATAGGGAAAAGACAACTGATGAATAGATAAATAAGAACTGGTATGTGTATCTATATGTGTGTATATATATGTGAATATCACTCAGCTATCAAAAAGAATAAAACCTTGTCATTTGCAATGACATGGATGGAGCTAGAGAGTATTATACTAAGTGAAATAAGTCAGTCAGAGAAAGACAAATACCATAATGACTTCATTCATGTGGAATTTAAGAAATGAAACAGATGAACACGGGGGGAAAGAGGGGCAAACCATAAAACAGTCTCTTAACTATAGAGAACAAATTGAGGGTTGATGGACGGAGGTGGGGGATGGGCTAGATGGGTGATGAGGATTAAGGAGGGCACTTGTGATGAGCACCAGGTGTTGTATATAAGTGATGAATCACTGAATTCTACTCCTGAAACAAATATTACCCTGTATGTTAACTAAATGGAATTTAAATAAAAACTTCAAAAAGACACAGAGAGGTTGAATGGATTAAAAAAACAACCCTAATTTTCTTTCCACGACACATACTCTTCCACCATACCAGGCATGAAGATTCCCTCAGAAGGTGCTACCTGTTAACTGTACCAGGTCAAAAGTGTGGGATGTGACAAGAGCCATGGAACAAGCAGGAAAAGAATAGTGTGTAGGAGAGGGAGAAGAAATGTTCAGAAAGGAAGTATATGACACAGGAGAATATAAAATCCTGGAAGTAAGATACATTCCACAAGGAGGGAATGTCCACTGGGTTTTTCATCTAGGAGAGCACTGGACATCTTTCTCCAAGCATGTTCAGTAGAGTGGTTGAGGTGGTAACTAGGCGGTGATGGCTTGGAAAGTTCTAGGTAGAATTTGAGGTGTTTATGGTACATACAGAAGAAGGCTGAAAAAAAATGCAATTTAGGACATGATACTTGGGTGGGGATGTAAAGACTTTGGAATTAACAATAGGCAAGAATTGACTCATGGAAAGTACATGAGTTTAGAAGAATGTCAGCACAGGTTATTGCAATGAAAAACAATGTTTAAGGTAAGAGTGCAAGGAGAGAATCCTGTGAAAGAGAAGAACGCAGAGTGGCCAAAGGGGCAAGGCAGTGATGGGACTCCATGGTGGAGAAGAGGCGTCAAGGAGAGATTGAGTGAAATTGTTAAATGCTATAGGGCGAACATCAAACAATTCGTGAAACATTTGTTTAGTTTTAGCAACAGGAAGGTCACTGAGAACCCCTGTA